CCATCCATTTCTGGTAGTACTCCGGTGCGGACGTAATACCATATGGAAGACGCTTGTACAGGAATTTCCCAAATGGCGTTATAAACGTCGTTAGCTTGCGACTCTCTTGGTTCAAGGCTACATGATGGAACCCCGAGTTCGCATCTAGCTTCGAATACACCATACCTTCTGCTATTTTGCCAAGCGTGCACTCTACCGTAGGCATCGGGAATAATTCTCTCTGTACCGCTTCATTGAGCCTGGTCAGATCGACGCACATCCTGACATCTCCATTTCGTTTAGGGACGACAACGATCGGTGCACACCAGTCAGTTGGTTCATCTACTGACTCTATTACATCTAGCTTTACAAGGCGATTAATCTCCGTCTCCACCTTCTTGAGTAAGGGAAGCGCAATCCTACGTGGTGTCGTAAGACAGAACGGCTTGACCCCTTCTTTAAGGCGTATGGCATGCTTTCCTTCGAGTCGTCCTAGCCCGGTGAAAAGCATCGGGTATGCCTCCATCACTTCTGTCTTCGTCCGTAACGGGAGTACTGGGGCCCGTTTCACGAAGCTATCGTAAAAACACCATCTTAAGGATATCCTTAGAATTCTTGTACGAGAGCCTAACGCTGTCCTAAACGTCCCTCGTTAAAGTGTTTCACGAAACTTATGCCGGTGCGTTGTTAGCCGGTCCTTAAAATTCAGCTGTAACGATGTTGCTGGCGGCATAGACTGCATGGTACCCTATCTCTACACCTTGCTACTAGGTAGTCTATATATAAGACATGTTAACAAGTCTAATGGCGACCCAGCTCACCGTGAGTTGCTACGCTAATCTCTCGCGTCATTTATTTTTAATACATGTACTATGATGTAGGTACAACAGCGTGCAAACTAAAAATAATAGGTTAAAAGTATTTTTAAATGCCAAGTACCTAAGAAATAATTAAACTAAAGCAAGGTTGACATTCTTCCTGCAACTAGAACTACCACAAATGACGTATTGACTGAACAAAAATGTAACATAAATTCTGAAGGTTTAGATTTACGTTTACTTTGATACAGTATTGCGCGCATAGGATACAGTGCATACATACTATAGCACATACCGCCATAGCATACATACACGAACAGCCGAAGCACGCCACATGTAAGGTGCAAGGAAGCATTTCATCTCTTCAAAAATCTGCTACCACAATTAGAAGCTTCTTAGCCACACTTAACCCCTGCGTGTCATGCCTTCACAGGCCTTGCACAGTATTCTCGTAGACACAGAAGTTACCTTCTCGGCGGATTTCGCTTACACTACGGCTTGCCAAAACAATAAAAAACACGACGCGGAAATCGCGCGTTGCTTGATGTACGATAGCCTAAGTACTGCCCCTGACCTGTCCTTAATATTCGCTCCTTAATAGCAACGTCGTTGAGTTAGCGAGACGTTTGTGAAACGTGGAAACTTAGCGAGGCTTTCGTGAAACACTCTATATATAAGGATATCCTAAAACCCCTCTTTAACCCATCACTAAATTAACGAGCGCTTCGTGAAACGGCCCCCTGGTGCCTTGGCATCAATCGCCCTGACGGTGCATGTGCCGAGGATGTGGTGAATCAGGCCCAAGCTCATTATGGCTGGAACGCCCAATAGTAGCTTGGATGCACCTCTAACCACATACACTTTTTCTTTCACCTGGGTTTTCCCATGACATAAACTCATGTCGGCACACCCGACTGTGTTTAGTCGCTTGTCTCCTGCCCCGACTAATTCCTTGTCAGGCATTGACAGCTCGCCGCAGGAATGATGGTACGCTTTCTCTGGCATTACTGACACCTGAGCGCCTGTGTCAATACACCATATCAACTCCTCTGTACCAGCAGTGAGCTTGATGTGCCATCCGGGATCAGATGTAATTTCTTCTCTCACACCTCCCACGAATGTGTGCGATAGCTGTTTATCATGGTGTCTCTCACCTTCTATCTGTCTGACCTGCATCTGTCCACTACTTTTGCAGATCGCCTCGAAGTGGCCTGTCTTTGTGCACTTCCTACACTTATGGTTGGCCGCCGGGCAGTTACGCTTTCCAAAGGGATGGCTCCTGTCACAGTAACCACACCTCACCCCTTGCTGTGGAGTATTCTTGCGTATTTTGTCATAGATATTTCCTTTCCTTCACGGTGTCTTCTGCGACACTCGTGGGGGCTGGTATCTGACAGCTTCAATACTAGCTGTTTTAGATTCTTTTAGCTCCCGACTTGTAGCTTCTCTCATTGACAGTACTTGGAATGCTTTCTCTAATGACAGCCTAGCACCTTGGTCATAGAGCTTCAGCTTAGCCCTATCGTCAGCGCATGAGAATGTTAGTTTGTAACGTATGGCTTGCTCGTGAAATTGTTCTGGAAATTTGCACTCGCTGGCTCTTTCTCTCACAGTGTTAAACCATGCATCTAAAGATTGCCCTGAATCTCTTTTTAGATGTAGCCAGTATCTCTCTCTCAGCATTAACTGTGGATCTCTTTTAGTGAAATGTTCATCGTATTTTCGGATCACGTCGTCATTGCTATTTCGAGATTCATCGACCGAAAATACAAAGTTTGTATATATTTCGATGCCTTGATCTCCTATGCTGTGTAGCAGTAATCCTACCTTCTGTTTGTTAGGCTTCGATGTAGAACCAGTGGCCTGTATGTATATACTAAATTTCCTCTTCCACTTATCCCAAGAATGCGCTGGGTTCCCACGATAAATTTCCAGTGTCTCTGGTGCTTTTACGTAAGCTTCCGCCATTGTTGATTCCCTTGTCTCTCAGCGTGTACAGCGTGACTCTGACTAGCAAATACTTATCACGTAATTTGCGTACTATGCCGCCGTGTAGAATCTTGTCTCTTTCTCTCACAGGCACTGTGATTGCAGGATCCCACTTCTGACACCATGTAGCGACTTCGTTGTAAGGCGAGGAAGGGAACAAACACTGTCATTGATAGACGATACACAGAGTTGTGTGTTACTGAGAGTCATCTTTATTCGCCTCCTGTTCGCGCCCAATTCCCACAATGCTCTGCCGGATAACATAACATATGAACGTCTGAGTAGACGTTGGTGTTACCTCATATTGTGCATAGGCTCTAGTGTTGTACCGCTAAGCATGCCAAAGGGACATGGTTGGGCACCGGCCCCACAATTAGCTAGGTTTGCTAATTCTATACTAATTCCCGGTAACTCGTCATGTAAATGCTTGTTAAAAGTTCCTAAACAGTATCAGGGAGGCCCTCTGTTACTTGTACAAGGATCGTAAGCTATTAAGAGCTTTCATAGGAATACATATTTATCGATTACTCCGATTCTCGCTATAGTATCAGCTGATCGCACGATTGAATGCGTAATTAACAATAGCTCAAATACACGTCATCGGTTGCTCGCGGATACAGTCGTGGGCTCAGTAGAGCCTACTAGAAAACGTAAGGTGCGTGCGTTATGTGCAGAAGTAGACGCTGTGGGTGTATTACCTGCTCGTCGCCTGACGGCTGAGGGCATACCTTTTGATTACTCCACCTTAGTTCAACACGTCGCTGATCCTCAGCAGAGAGCAACTTTAATACAATTTTTGGAAAGACGTGACAGCACTTTCGCACATACGGATGCGCAGTTAGGCTGTACTCATTTATGTCATTTTAAAATCCATACGGGGATAATGAAGTGATCAAATCTTGACCGTATCGTATGTCGCTTGCGAAACAGGAAATCGTTCAAAAGGAGGTAGATAAGCTAGTGGCAAATGGTATAATACGACCCTCCATGAGTCCTTGGGGGTCCGGATGTCTCCTGGTCGCCAGGAAATCGGCTGATATGAGCCTAGTAATTGATTTCCGCTGTGTAAATAACCTTACTTCTTCTGATGTCTACCCTTCACCTCTCATAGAAAACGCATTGTTGGCGTTAGGAAAGGCTAAAATCTTTACTTCGTTAGATTTACGATTAGGTTATTTTCAAGTTCCAGTTGATCCAGTCGATATTCCTAAGACATGCTTTGTTACGCCTTTCGGAAGTTACGAGAAATTACGTTGTCCGTTTGGAATAAAAAATGCGCCTTCACACTTTCAAAGATTGCTTGATTATGTGCTTAGAGGATTATGTCATAAGTGTGCACTTGATTATATTGACGACATCTGCATCTATTTCCCGGATTTCGCTACACATATTGTATCATGTCTTTTGCACGTGTCACATGGATTAGTGCGTGGAGCTAGACTGGTAGTTGTTTTAGCCATAGTTTAGCTAGACAGGACGTCGCGCATATGGGCGGCGGCATTGATGTTACAGGGAGTTGGATAAGCGGGTTCTAGGTTAGGCAGTTTCTAGGGTGATTGTGAAATGAGGGGAACGGTTGGAACTGGACAGAACGGGTGACATGTGCTCTCAAGATGTAGGGAGTTTTTGGCGAATATATAGGGAGAGATGTAATAGGAGGGGGATTGGAAATTCTGGTTCTGGGGGCGAGAGGACGCGCACGCGCGACCGCGCGTGTGCGGCGTGCTTTGTCTGTGTGTAAGGAGATGTGATGTGTCTAAGATATTAAAGATCATCTTCGTCGTTACAATTGTACAGTTTACCACACAAGTTTGGGTCTACTTCATCATTTCTACATGAACTCGCATTCCTGTTTGCAATACGATAGACTTGGCAGAGGTGTTCAATAGGCTAGATGAAGCTAACCTTACTCTCCGTGCTAGTAAATTTTTTTTTTTAAGGGAATCTATTAGCCATTTGAGCCATATAATTGTAAAGTAGTATCAGAGACGTCCACTTCAATCCACGTATTATTGTTTACATAACATTAAGGAAATAGCCGATCGGTACCGGAAGTACCAGAGTGGATACCAGTTGTGTATTATGTTTGCTAGAACAGTATTACTTTCTAGTTTGGAAGTCAAAATATTATAATATTATTATTTGTATTCACTGATTTTGTGAGCTGGTATATACCTTATTAACGTTTTTAAGGCCTGCATATATATTTTTTGGGTAAAATACGGGATCCGCCAGCGGCCTTTTTGCGACGCCATTTTGCACGTGTAGAACTTCCCATTTTGTTACGACTGGCACAAATTACACAATCTAAACGCCTCGGCTTGCGGTGAGTGTATTTTCTATGATTGTATAACTGATAAGGTTCAATAATCATCCGCCAAAACGAATTGGCAGAGATCTTTCACTGTTACGCATTGTAAAGTGTTGAATTCTCCAATCAGATTGACGCTTGGTAGAAACATGAGAATTCGCAATTTCGTTTTGGTCATGCATGTCGTCTGCGCGTGTGGGTTGTGTTGTGGAACTATATGTGGATGTAAATGGGATATATTCTTAGGTTGGCTATTCGTGACATGCACCGGTATTCCAAACAGAGAAGCTGATTACCACGTCTTAAGTAATTGTATGCTGTACACATGTTTTAGTTAGAATGCAGTGTACTAGTGCAGTAGCGATTGGTAGCAATGTTGTCAATGTTGATCCTTATGTACCGCAGATGCTTTCTGCCACATACGAATGTTTTTGAATGTAATGTTGCATACTTTAAGGCTACAGTTACATATTTCTTACTATTAATAAGTAGACACCACAGCCACTACTTCATCTAATGTTGCCAACGATATTTTCTACAATTAATATGTGTAATAGCCACGTTAATGGGAATGGTGGACAAACCGTTGTTTCAATTTGTATTGTATAGGCACTCCTGATACCGCTGGGAAGGAAGCCGGTTGTAGGCTGGAGTACCCACCCGGAGTAGTCGGGGGTGAGTGGTTACCTTAGTGGTTGCCATGGTATTACATACTAAAGTCTGTTTCAATTAATGTATGAGTAATTGTCGATAATACATACATACATATATATACCCATGCACTGTTCATGTATGCCCCACAATTGCGTTGTATTACGATATATAGAGGGTTCACACCCCCTGGGTTATCGATTATTGATCATCGTGCTGTTACTGTTACCATGCAGTTATGTATCGCATTTCGTGCCTGACCTTGACGTTTCCAGACGTAGTAATACATAACCTAAGGTGGATTACATGGTTAATAATCTCTACATAGTTATGATACTTTCTGACATGTATTGAGTATAGTCCATGTTGAATTGATATAGCAACTGGTTGTAATGCTGTCATTCGCTCCGGTCAGCACACTACAATGTGATTCCTGTTTGCTGTGTTAATAGGTTCTGCGTTTGCACCTAAATAAAGATGTCGGACCCAGAATAGATGTTGTCGGCTTTGTGTTTTGGACCACATCTTACATAATTACACCAGGGGGCATTAGTCCTGATCCCGCGAATGTCAAGGCTGTTCAAGACTGGGTAACTCCGACTACTGCTACAGCAGTACGCCAATTTATCGGTTTTTCTAGTTACTACATAATTTTTTTTAAAAGGTTACGCGGATATCGCGCGCCCACTTTCGCTTTTAACCCATAAAAGCACGCCCTTTCTGTGGTCTACCGAGGCACAGAAAGCATTTACTACACTTAAAACCCTGTTAACGGAGGCGCCCATTCTCGCCCTTGCTGATAACACCAAATCTTTTCGCGTATATTGTGACGCATCTTCCTACGCAATAGGTGCTGTCTTAACACAGCTTGATGATAATCGGCAGGAACAGTCAGTTTATTATCTTAGCAAGCAATTAAATGCAGTAGAGATGCGTTGGGCAGTTGTAGAGAAAGAATGTTATGCGGTCGTGTACGCGTTACAGAAGTTAGTCATCTGTTATTGGGTAATGCAATTCAGGTAATTTCCGATCATAAACCTCTTCGTTATCTTTTAGAGGCTAAGTCATTAACGAATGCTAAATTACAACGATGGGCTATAATCATTTCTGAATATGGATGCGACATTGAGTATACTACCGGCGCGTCAAATAAACCTGCGGATGCTATGTCACGATTACTACCAGCCAACCTTCGACAAGAGGCCACACGTGAAGTTTACACCATGCCGTCTACTACACAGCAGCAGCTGCTGAGTGTCAACAAAGTTAGCGACCCGTTACCCCCTACCAACCCCTCTACGCCTCGTGCGCAGATGCTCGTTGATAATGGCGAGTCGATTAAGGAGTCAGCATCGGTTATGATGTCACGGTCGCGTAACCCTTGAGTGACTTCAAATATTGGTTTTTCGGGTGCCATAATTATCTGATTTAGTCGAATTATGAAAAGCTAACCCCTTCCTTTCACTTGTTTACGAAGTGCTAAACAAGTCTGATTGTTTACTTAAAGATACCTGTCTGGTCTCCGACTATTTTATAGACGATAATATTTTATACCATGTCAAATCGTAACCATCACATCCAGACTACACCCCACAGGTAGCGATTCCACGTGTTTTGGTTACACAAATACTTCTGCAGTTTCACGATCACTTATATGGAGGACATTTTGGTTTTAGGAAAGTTTACGATAAGATTTCGGAGCGTTTCTTTTGGCTACGTATGTATTCCGATACATATCATTACGTTAAATCTTGTACTATTTGTAATGCGCGCAAGCCACAGCGTGTTCGCGCGCCAATGGGACAGGCACTGCTGCCCCGCTGTGTCGGTGACATCGTGGCAATGGATATCACGGGACCTCATCCCATTACAGCGGCAGGTAACCGTTATATGTTAACTTTCCTGGATTTATACTCAAATTGGCAGGAGGCGTATGCAATACCTGATAAAAGTTCGTCAACTGTAGCAGACGTATTTGTAAACCGTTATATAACTACCCATAGTTGCCCAAGAACCATATTAGCAGATAACGGCTTGGAATTCGTGAATAAATTACTCACACGACTAACTACACTATAGATCAATCACATTCGTACTGCCCCTTATCACCCTGAGTCAAACGGCCAATTAGAAAGAATCCGTCGCACGCTTTCAACAATGATATCATCGGCAATATCGGTAGATCACTCAGATTTGGAATTGCATATTAATGCAGTTTTTTGCATATAGAACGGCTGTTAACAAGACTTCACAGTGCACACCGTTTTTCCTACATTATGGCAGATCGCCTTGTTTACCAATAGATGTTTTATTATACCCGCGGTGTCTTTTGTATTCAGACGATCTGGTAACACATGCGACTGAACGCGTTCACAGGGCGTTCACATTCATTGAGCGTAACACAAGGGCAGCTCGTCAGAAAAACAAGCGGCTGTACGACTAACGCGCAAAAGATTTCGCGTTCGAGCCCGGTGATCCCGTGCTGTGGTTTAACCCTGTTTTATCCGGCAGTCAAACACGTAAGTTCGGAAGTCTATGGAGACCTTACTATAGAATTGTTGAAAAATTAACGCCACGACGCATGCAAATAAAGCGTGAGGGTGATACTCGCGCGTACGATGTTCATGTACAGAATGTAAGACCGGCCCATCCGTTCGAGGAATGGAACAGGCTAAATACTACCGTGAAATCGAATGATGCACGACCGGTTAGAGACGCGATGCTAGTTGCCCCGAGAGTTGTTAGTCCGGCGGAGCGTGACGCGACTAATTCTCAATGGGCACAGGAAGATCTCATACCGTTAGCACGTTTATTTACAGAACACGTTGACACGGCATAGCTTCACCGCTCTGCAGTGCATATTCATGATTTCGCCGGCGATGGTTACGACATACACCAGCCAACGCAAGGTGTGGTTTTCGTTCCAAGAGGTCAAATATCTATTACACAAAGTACGTGGGCTTTGGAGTTTACATTAGATTTTACCGCTATTCACGAATATCTCGATGAACTTAAGAAACAACTATCAGAGATAACGGAACTACCTCATGTTCATTCTAAGTTCACGTCATATAGAATTCAGTTGATGCTTATGCGTCTCAAGTTCGGGAGGCGTTACAAGTACTCCTTAAAGAACACGTCACGTGGTTTCAACATCGTTTCGTTTTCATGACGCAACAACTTCATGACCTTCATTCCTTACATTACGTAATGGATAAGCGTACGATTATTGCAGGGATTGGTAAACTCTCTAAATTTCTGTTTGGAACGGCCACAGAGGCCGATGTTGAGGCTTTGCAACAGCGTATATTGGCAATGGGCAACACGCAGCATGCGATTTTAACTGCAATGGATGATTCGTTAACGGTTATGAATTATACGCGCATAACGGCGGAGTTGAATAGTCGTAATATATCTGTGTTGATGTTACAGACGCAAAGACTTACTACTGCTGTCAACAGCACTTTAGTTAAAATGACAGGCTGGCAAGCTGCAACTCAGCAAGAATTCATTACGCTAACGAAATTGAAATTAGCATGAACTAGTATGAAACTAGTTTTTGATCATGGGCATGATGCGCTTGATGCGATTGCACAGTCAGTCGCTATATTACCACCGCCCCGGTAATATAGAATATATTCGAACTATATTTCGTTTGCCGTCCGTGTTGGTTCCGGCTCATCACTTTCGAAAAATCCTCCTATCTATTCAAGAGGCATTATCCCCTAATTTGGCGTTACCTCATGATCCACACTCAGATTTATTATTCGATTACAATATTATCACGGTTGTGGTCATAGTTAGGGTTAGGGTTAGGGTTAGGATTAGGGTTAGGGTTAGGGTTGGAGTTAGGGTTAGGGTTGGCGTTAAGCGTTAGAGTAGGGTTAGGGTTAGGGTTAGTGTTAGGGTTAGGGTTAGGGTCAGGGTTAGGGTTAGGGTTAGGGATAGGGTTAGGGTTAGGGTTAGGGCTAGGGTCAGGGTTGGGGTTGGAGTTAGGGTTAGGGTTAGGGTTATGATGCGTATTAGGGTTAGGGTTATGATGCGGATTAGGGTTAGGGTTATCATTAGGAGTAGGGTTAGGCTGAGGGTAAGGGTTAGGGGTAGGGTCCGTCCTAGGGTAAGGGTTAGGGTTAGAGTTATGGTAAGGGATAGGGTTAGTGTTAAGGTTAGGGTTTCCCGCTGGCACTCAACCTAAATTCAACGTTGAAATTTGGTTGAAATACCACTGTTGTTGATGCAACGTTGATTCAACGTTGAATATTCAACGGTTGAAACAGCTAGTGTCGACAAATCACCGTTGAAACAACGTTGAAATTTCAACGTTGAATATGCGTTGAATGTTGTACGTTGAATCAACGTTGTAATAACAACATTTAGTCAAAAGTTGAAAAAGAGTTGCTAAGTCAACGTTGAAACAACGTTGAAATTTTAATTATTAAGTTATTAACTTATTTTCTTTATTAAGAAGTTGTGGTATCTACTCAAGATAAATGCCGGGGGATTTGTTTCTACCTCCCCTCACCACATACCCCATAGCCCAGCCCCGCCTGCGTGTTTTTTTTTACCGTACCACTAATGCCTAAAATCGCCACCACAAGATAGACGGTATTTGGTACTATAACACAGTATATAAGATAATCGAGTCGGTTTACAGTTAGTGTTAGGGTTAGGGTTGGGTTAGGTCTAGGGTTTGGGACAAGGGTGACTGTTTGTACTTGTATGTGGCTGCAGCACATGCGTAGTGTAGGACGTTTACGCATTAGTGGTACGTTAAAAATACATGCGCCAATCAATCAATCAATATATCAATCTAATCAAGTTCGGTATTTCAACGTTGAATCAACGTTGCTATATCAACGTTGATTATATTTTCAAATTCGACAGGTAATCCAACCTTGATTCAACGTTGAGGTTCAACGTTGATTCAACGTTGAAAGAACGTTGAAATGCTAGCTGGGGTTAGGGTTAGGGTTAGGGATAGGGTTAGGTTTAGGGTTATGATTAGAGTTAGGATTAGAGTTAGGGTTAGGGTTAGGGTTAGGGTTAGGGATAGGATTAAGATTAGGGTTAGGTTTAGGGTTAGGGTTAAGATTAGGGTTAGGCTTGGGGTTGGAGTTAGGGTTAGGCTTAGGGTTAGGGTTAGGGTTAGGGTTAGGGTTAGGGTTAGGGTTAGGGTTAGTGTTATGGTACGGATTAGAAATAGGGTTATGATTAGGATTAGGATTAGGGTTAGGCTGAGGGTAAGGGTTAGGATTATGGTTGGGCTCGGGTTATATATATTATAGGTAGCATGGTTTCACAGGCGTACGTGTGTATTATATTCTGCACCCGGGATGCAAAATATAATGGGGATGCAATCGCTCACGCTACTGTACACCAAGGCTGTACACCGGTCCCAGATGTAGGATGTAGTATAGGCCGTTATCCCAGCTAACAAAGTTATGTTCCTTGAATGTTATGGGAATGTTTCTTTTAGGTTAGCAGAACATTATTCAG